GGGATAAAAAGAAGAAGAAAGCAGCGATCATAACGACATCAGCTAACCCGGCATTGCGCTCCGCACCCGTTTTCATATCCCGGAAGAACGCCCTCGCACAAGCAGGAAAGAATCTACGAAAATGCCACGACGGCCGCCTACCCCTTGACGGCTTCGTCTTTGGCATCGAGACAGACAACCTATCATCTACCATCAGCACCGAAATCAACAAGTACCCGCCTCCTGAAATACCGCCAGACTGGAAATCCAGCAAGCAGCGCGAATCCGATGCATCAGCAGCAGGCTACGTATCCACCGCCGACGCTGCCAAAGCCTCCAGACTGGACCCTAAATCCCGCGCCGCACTCCTAGGCGAGACCCAACTCCCCGGTAAATCCGTCTTCGACTTCCTATCTTCGTCCGCGCGCGACCGCCTCGCCACCGCAACCGGAAAGACTAATCTTCCTCCCGGCCTGGGCGAGATCCCCGAGGGATACGCCCTAAGCGAGGAAGAAAAGCGCCAGGAGCTCTTGCGCCAGATCCCCGAGCTCGATAAGATGACGGCCGCGGCCGCGATAGCTCGCGGCGCAAGCGGTGGCGCCGCGCCGTATGCAGATGATGAGGCGAAGCGCGCGCGGTATAGGGCGTATCTCGAATGGGCCGCCGGGTTTAACGCAAACCCACCGTCCCGACTCCCCAGCGTCAGCGTGGAAGATTGGTTGCGCGAACTCCACGAATTCCGCAGCTGCGCGCTGATTTTCAAGCCCATGACCGGCGCCATGGCCTCGCGGTTCACCACCTCTTCTTCATCCACCTCAAAACTAGCTGCCGGCTCCTCCGGCGCCGTCCCCTCGGACCGCGACCTACTGTCCGTGCCGCCGCAGAAACCGGTTGATCCCGCGGAGCAGGCTGCAAGCTTGGGTATGTACGGTTCTATGACGAGGTCTGTGGGAGACTTTTACCCGACGAGGTTGCTGTGCAAGAGGTTTAATGTGAAACCTCCGGCGCACGTGCAGCCAGTCCAGCAGCCGGAGTCGGATAGGGGGGCAGGAGCAACAGCCGCGTCGAAGAGCTCATATGGTGCTGGTGTGGGTGTGCCTGGGTTTACGACCGGTGCGATGACGTTGGATGAGCTATTGCAATCAGCGCAGATACAGGCCAGTAGCAATACGGAAGCAGCAATAGCAGCAGTGCCAAAGGCGATTGAAGCACCGCCGCCGAAGACAGAAGAAGCGGTGGTCAACGCCGAAGTCAACGAGGCGGTAGAAGGCAAGCGAGCGCAGGACGATGTGCTAAGGGCTATATTTGGGGATAGCAGTGACGAAGAGGACTAGACCAGACCAGACTAGGTACCTACCTACCGAAAGGACGGGCGGCTAGGTATGAAATAGATAGATAGATAGATCGATAGAAGATATGTATGATGGAATGAAATAGTTGGTAGTTGCATAGTTATACCCCGCCGAGAACGATTCTATACGATAAGAAAGCACACGAAGAATATTTACCACAAACCCCGAGAGTGCTTGCTTGATATTGTGCATGATATTACAATACGCGATGCCGCGTTGGATGTATGGTCTACTAGCAATCCGCGCTCATAAGGAAGACGGGTAGGGTATTGAAGATAGCTCTTCCGAGTATCTTAACCCCCTTTTCATGGTGTTGCGGTTCTAATTTATGGGTTATTGTATAGGGCTCTCGTGACAGATCTATGAATGTTGAACCAATACCATCCATACCTGCACAGAGACCAACGAGCCCTGCGGCTCTATTTTATTTTTGGAGCCAACATCACGATATTCCATTCCTGACGATGCCATGTAGATATAGACACAACCTCCGAACCCAGGCTACACAAACCCTGCTATACAGGACAACCGCTCTTCTTAATGCGTCGGCTTCATAATAGGCGCGATAATACCCTGCTTCATCAAAATCCTCGGCTTCGTCGCCTCCTGGAACGTCTCCTTGGTCATCCACTCGGGGCCCACGGGAAGCCTCAGCGCGCGCTCGTACTGCAGCCTAGACTCGTACGGATGTGGCAGCTGTGAGGCCATGAACTTGTCGTTCTACGGTTATCAACAATTAGCTTTCGTCTCGCCCAGAATAGGCAATATAACATACCTTCTTAATCCTCTTCTCATTAACAATAACGTTCTGCATCCCTACGTCCTTGCGGTCCTTCTTCTTGACGCCTTCCTGCTTGGTCAGGAACCGCCCCTGGTGCCGCTTCTTCTCGCGGTTGCTGACGCCGTCGCCGACCCAACTGCCCCAGCCGGGAAGCGTGTTGTCGATAACCTTGTCGTCGTCTTCCGCTTCGATTGCTGCTTTTTCTTGCTCGAACTCGGCTACTACGTCTAGGCCGCCAAAGGCTTTCTCGATGAGATCTTGCTCGCGGAATTGGATAGGCAGGTGGCTTGTCTCGTCGTCCGAGGAGTCATTGCCGTTTGCGATCGCTTGTTTCTTGCTTGGCTTGGGTTTCTTGGCCGGTGCTGCAGAGGCTGCAATAGCCACCGAGTCGATACCTAGCTCTAGCACTTCTGCGCTAGACCCTGTCTTCCTGCTTTTTTGTTTCCTTGCCGGTCCAGCTACTGTAGGCTGACTCCAAGCGCCCGCTATGGAACTTGGATCTACATCCTGTGACACTGGGGCTGAGAGCCCCTTTGACCGACCGGACTTTGTGGCTGCGATGTTGTCCCTAGCTGCTTGAAGGTCTGTAACTTCTACCTTATCCTTACTGGCTTTAATGAGCTTCTCGCTAGACTTCCCCAACTTGCCCCCTGATGGCTGGCCAAATTTTCGTCGACCAATATCCGCGCCTTCGTCGTCCGAGTCTGCAGCGGCTTCGTCATCCGAGGCTAGATCCCGTCTTATTTCGGCTATTAGTTCATCATTGGCTTTTCTCTTAGCTGCTTCTGCTTTCTTCATGAATTCCATATTCATCAGTTTCGACTTTGGCGCATCGTCATCGTCGGAAACGTTGTCAAGCTGCTGGAGTAGTCTCTTCCGCTCATCAACATCGTCCGAGCCGCCCGAGTAATCGGAGTCCTCGTCTGAATCGCCATTTGTCTTTGCTGGTTTCCCCTCGATACGGCGACGCAACTCCTCGTCTCGCCGGGCCATATCGGCTATACCAACTCGAACATCGTCATCCCATGCGGCACGCTTATTCTTGTTAGACATTTTAGCCCATTTGCTTTCTCGATGTCGGGCGCCCATTCTCTCCACGGCTCGCTGGCGGTCCTGAGCCTCACGCTCATCTTCCGAATCGACCTCCCCAGCGGCAACCATAGCCTCGTGCTCCTTCATTTCGTCTCTTTCCCTTTGTTTTCGGTGCACACGATGGTAGGCCTTGCTCTTAATCTTCTTAATACGCTTTGATCTTGCGTCCTCTCGGGATTTGAGTTCCCTCTCGCGACGCTTCTCCTGCCACAGGGCCTTGAGGTTGTTTCCTGAGAAGCCTTCGGCATCTGCGGATTCTAGGTCCTCCATCTGCTTGGTCTCTTTCTTGGTACTTGGTCCAAGCCCACTTTCTTCCATAATTGCGAGGATAGTCTTTTCTAACTCTGTTCCCGGCGCTTTCCGATTCAGGGGTTGGATTTCGGTGTTATTATGCCTGGCGAGACCGGTCTCCGTCTGGGGGAGCGGAAAGACCAGATGGTCCGCTCTTCTGTTGTGCTTCACGGTTTCGGTCCAACGGTCCAAAGATTCGTTTGTCTTCTCGTATGCGACAGTGCGATCCAGCTTTGCCTGCTGGCGTCTTGCGAGGGGCACCTCTAATTTCTGCGGCTTGCTCGATTTCTCCTCCTTGGTCATGAGCTTAAGGGACTTCTTTAACTGGGGATCTTTAATTCCTAATAAGCCTAAATCTTTCAACCCAATCTTTGGCTTCTTAGTTGGCACGACATCTTGATCGTCTGTATCTTTCACCCCTCCGAACTTGGAAACCCATGCATTGATTCCAGAGTCTGATACGTCGTCATCCTCATCGTCTTCAATATCGGAAGATTCGTTGCCGGACGCCGCACCGTCTTCGTCAGATTCTTCTTCGTCAGAGCCAGACTCGTCGTCAGCTCCAGGCTCCCCATCATCCTCCGACATAGACATATCTAGAGCTGCAGCAAGATCAATGGCATCGGACCCGAGAGAAGCACCGTCAGCATCGCCAATATCCTCATCGCTATCGTCATCCTCATCATCGTCCTACAAATCGCGTTAGTTATAGCTATCGAGGAGGTACCTGAGTTATCTCCCATTACCTTTTTCTTCGGCTTCTTTTTACTCCCACGGAAAGCGTAGTCTTCGAAACGTTCCTGGTCGCTTTCCCCAAAAGCGTCGTCACTTTCTATCTCTGAGTCGTCATCTTCATCGACGCCAACTCGCCACTCGTTCCCGCTGCTATCGCTCCCGTACTCAACATCTTCATCACGTTCGGCACCACGGCGCATCTTCTTAGGCGGTCCCTCCTCTTCGTCTTCATCGTCATCCTCGTCATCATCCTCGTCTCTAGCATGCTTGCCGCCGCCGCCACCACCACTTAACGGTATATCAAGTTCGCGGTTGCGGGGCGTACGCTTCTGACGGTCTGCATATTCCTCGGATGCGATGGCGAAAGCGTTCAGGGCCTTCTTAGTAGATTTCGACTTGGACCTCTTCTTACTTTTGCCGTTGGTAGTTGTGCCGCCGCCGACGGGTCGTCCGTGGGCTTGCCGGCCTGGCATGTTGAAAAAGTGCGAATTTGCCTAAGATTTCACAGATTTTGAAGATATCTCTACAATGTAGTAGATCGCGCGCTATACTGGAATTCCGTCTCAAAAATTGAGTGTAGACGAAGCTATGCTCAGTCGCTAGAATAGGTAACTTTCAAGGTTTATGGGTTCTAAGTTCTAATCGATAATGCGAATTCTTGCAAAACAAAAGCGGTGTCTAGACTTTTTTTTTCTGCCGCGATAGTGGGGGAGCTCTAACTTTCTAACTTGCAACTTGCAGGGTCCAGTTTAAACTTCAACCAACTTCCATGGAAGTTAAGCTTAAGCTTAGTAAGTACCTGGGTACCTAACCAAAACCAATGCAAACCCACCCACTTCGCCGATTTTCAAGATCGCGAACTTCACAAAACAGCTTCCAACACTTACTTATACCCCCGCCCGCACCGATCAATTGGGCGCATCGCCACAGACATATAAATCCAATCTGGCTCTCCTTCTCTCCATATCCCATCGAAGAGACAATCACCCACGATGCAGCCCACCCAAGCGCTCCTAAAGCGCTACCGCAAGCTCCCTCTAACAACCAAAGATATCAAGAAGGGCTTCTACAAGGGCACGCGAACAGGCAGCATGGGCCAGCACACCAAGTTCGGAGGGTACGTCATCGACTGGGACAAGGTGCGGACGTACGTCGTGCCCGCAGGGCTTGAGGCTTTCAAGGTATGTTCGTGTATAATATATATATTATAAATTCTCACCACCGCAGAGCAGAGGGTGGCCAGGAATACAAGACTAACGTACTACAATAGTTAACGCCGTTCATCACGAGCAGGATCCGCCCGACGAGAGGTCGGTACGAAGGCTACCGCATGGGCCCTAAGAGCCCAGAGCTATACCTGGAGCGGTGGAAGGCAGAGAATGGGTTGGACTGAGTGGTCTATCGCCTGAAAGAAACAAAACTTTGAAATAAAATAAAACGGTTACTTATACAGGCTGACCAGGAGGGCCTAAACGGTAGAGACGTGCTTACGACTTACGGTTAAGACTGATCGAACCCCAAATCGCCATAGTTACCTACCTATGGATATGGATATAGGTATGGTGGTGGTTGACGAGTCTTCGTGCTCTTCGACTTATACAGTACGAAAGTCATGGTGATATTAGGCCGAAATTACATGTAAAATCCGTACCGTATAAATCACATACACCCACATATCTATAAAGCACATACCGCGATTATTTCAAATTGAAAGTTCAAGTTCAAGTCCAATTTCGAATACTATTACTAACTAGATTATTGCTAACGAGGGTATATAAAAATAAGAATCAGATAACACGATACACTATCCAAGACCGGACAAATAAGATAGGATACCGGGTATATTGTTATTTTCCTTCTCACCAACACCTCAATTTTAAAAGGATCATTTCGTGGTAGGCAGATCCTCCTGCGCGGTGACGAACGTCTCTAGTGGTGGTCTTTGTAGACCGTCCACAATGACCAGAGGCGTTACTGGCATACTGGCGGCCTCGCTACCTGGCGTGGGGTAAGCAGCCATAGGGGTCCAAGGATCGTCGTCCATGTCAGCGGCTGTAGGGACAATTTCATGAGAATTAGCCCCTTGCTGCTTTAGCAAGTTAGGGTCAACCACTTCATCCCTCGCCTTTCCGGTGACAGTAGCGACAACTGCGGCACTGGTCGTTGCCATAGCATCGATCTCTAGACTCAATGGCCTTGGACTCGCAACCCGATCTGGGTGGTCGAAGGCTGAAGTCAATGTGATCATGCTGGCCGTATCAGCCTCCTTGTTGAGGCTAAAAGGTACAGCGATGCCTCCCACAGTAGGCCGCTTGCCCGCGACACCTGTGTCATGCGAAAAGTAATCTGGAGAGAGGAGGAGACTGCCTCTAGGAGACGGCAATGCCTCGGCTTGTCTCGATTTCTCTTCACGCTGAGCCATAAGCATATCAATGGAGGTACTTTCGTTAATATCATCATCGGCAGTTTGCTGCTCGTCCCTGACTATCTTCGTCCTTGATCGGGTTCGGTTATGTCCAAGTTCTCGCCTGGCTACCTCCTTCCCTTGTTTTTGAAGATCATCTGGTGAGCGAGCTCCCTCTCCTTCTTCGGTAGTAGCAACTTTGACTACTGGGGCTCTATCTGCTTCGTCTTCTCTTATCACTGTAGCTTCGTCGTGTTTAGAACCCCAGAGCGACCATAGAGCAAGACCTACACTCTTCGTCTTTTTCTTATCTGCGGGGTCCTCGGCTTCCCTACGCCTGCTAGCAAGAGCAGCTGGAGGCGGTGTCTCTCCGTCAAACCCTACGTAACCTGCGGCCATCTCCTTAAGACGCTTCTTGTGTATCTTTGTACGGATGCTACCGTAGCGCTTATTCCACTGAGCTCGCGTTTCAAGCCACCTTCGTACTGGTGTCTCCTTGACAACGCCTATGCTGTCCCGGTCTATAGTGCAACCAACCAGCTCGGAGGCAGGCTCCAGGTGCCTAACAACTCCATGGCGGCTTACACGTTGGCGGATCATATGATTTTTGAATGGCGGCAAGGGGTCCCCAGCCTTGCCTACCTCAATGTTAGCATCACTTTCCGTCTTACTTTTCTCCTTAGTAACTGTGTCTGTAGCTTCATTATCTGAACTTAAACTGGAGTTCGATATGACAGAGATATCATCATCATCTTGGATCTCGATTCCTGTCTTCTGGGCTCTTGCCAAAGCCCAAGCACCAAACTGGGCTACTGAGCGGTACATAAATTTTGCTGGCCTGGTGAAACTGAGAGTTGGTGCGACATGGCACAGATCGTCCCAAACTTGAAGCTGAACATCGGTTGGCTTGAAACGCTTCAACTGTTCGTATGCTGACTCGTGCATCGAAGACTCCGGAGGTAGGTACTGGGATGGATTGGCACATTTATGTGCTAAGTATATCTGCTCATCTCGAAGGATTTCCCCACCACCCGTCATGATAAGTAGAGGTGGTAGTCCACCAAGGGTAGGCTGCATAACAGGGCTAACCAAAGGATGCGATAAGAGCTCGTTAGTCGTATACATCTAGGAGAATGTCAGCATGCATTTGTCGGTCCTTGCTTTGCATTACATACCTGAAGCTGCTCTTTGAGCTTAACTTCTTTACCATCGAGATTAATCGATATGTATGAGGTTTCAGCAAGAGTAGCGCCTGAAGAGGCACCGTCTATTGCCTTTGTCGCATTAAGCTGCGCGAGGTCTTGAGGGAGAGACTTCATTTCCACCGAGACGGGTTTCATTTTGGTTTGGCCCTTCTTATTGTTCTTATTTACCTGTTCAACCAACTCTGCGTACTCATCTGCATTCAGAGGAGGCCATGCCTTGGATGGCTTATGATGAAAGCCACACTGAGGAATATAATCCAGAGGGCAATCCTGAGAAACACTAGGAAAGGAATGTGTTAAGTCCACCCAAGGACTAATAAGAATAGCACCAGCAGGCAAAGGGATGCCTCTGTCCCTCATAGTAACCAGCATGCTTAAGACCATGCCACCGCCGGCTGAGTCTCCGGCAAGAATAATTGTAGTTGGGTCTTGAGTCGTAAGCAGGTATAAATACGCTGCTAAGCAATCCTGGAGGCCGCATGGAAAGGGAAACTGGGGAGATAATCGGTATTCGGGCGCGAAGACCCTGGCTTTCAGTTTCCGCGCATGTCGCTGCATCTGGTACCGATGCTCATCAACACTTCCGAAGAAATAGGCACCTCCATGTACATAGAGCATGACTCTCTTGCCTGGGTCGCCTGTCTTCTTGCGCTCATGATAATCAGCCTTCATCTCGATCCATTCCGCCTTGAGGGGGCTGCCAGGTTTCCGCCATTGCCACCAATTCCGACCGCCAACCTTCTTGATACCATCCGGTCCCAACTGCCCTTGCAAAGCGCTCGCGGCTTCTACAAGCTTGGACTCGGGGATCTCTACTTGATCGACTTTAACCCATTGCGGGTGTGGCACCCATTGCGAAGTGAAGGCTTGGATATCTTCGACCGTGTGATGCGACGCGAACGAAAGGAAAGATCGTATGAGGTGTAGTCCCTCGTCGTACGAAAGGTGGGCAGTTGGCCGTTCGCGTAACGGTTTACGATTAAGGTACTACAACATTATCACCGTCTTAGCATGAACTCTCCTTACGAATATGTATAATACATAATACATAGGCAACTTCGAACAAGGAAAAATAGGACGGGAAGGTATTCCATTGGGCACCTACGTGAGACAGAAAGGTCGACAGGACCGTTGGCGTAACCGCCATAGATACGGTAGCCGTATTCATGGTCGCGTGTCTACGAGCTTAGCTTGGATTACAAGTATAGGTAGCTTGTAAAGAAGCAGCTTTCTATAAGCTGTGATGACTCGTGTAGTTGAGGCAAGGCATCGGGCAACTAAAGCAATTGTGGTGAGATTAGGGGTGGGTTACGGAATACGCGGGTACATAAAGAGATTAAGTTATGTTCATGTACATATCTCGACGTCTATTTCCTGCAATTCCTGCTGTCCTGTAATAAGTGGATAGCTACCTCCTGGATTAACCTCTGGTTTACTTGGCAGTTGCCCGAATACGCATCTTAATTTCACAGGCCGGTCATTTTCGGTGATGTCATTGCGCTGCTTGTTTCAGACGATTAGTACTGCACCATTTGACTATTCCGTTCCTTAGCGAGGTTAGCTGCTACTCTAAAAGGAGAATCTACCCTGAAATGGGAATGCGCTTGATACAAAAGGTTAGCGTAAATCTAATATCGAATCTCTACCTTAGGTACTTTCAATGTTGCGTAACACAAATGCGGGTCAAGCTCGGTAGAATCGATTTTAAAAAAAAAAATTTGAAGAAATTGTTATCAACACCGGGGCTAAAGTTGCGAATACCCCTCCATCGTATGTAAATGCGACGCTCAGGGTTCAGCGAAAAGCATATTACCGCCATAAAAGTTCCCACAAGATGACGTCGACAGAAGCAGGGCCATCGCCGGGTATGTTATGTATTCCCTGATTTGTCTGATATATCTCCCTTTTCTTATTGTTACGCTAAATACTGACCGGACCAAAATTTGTAGAAACCCGACAGCTCCAATTTGAGCAGGGCGTAGCTATCTCGCTACACCTATGGCTTTCCCTAACAGTCGCGGTGCAAAACGGACTAGGCGGTTCCGACTCCGAGGACAAGCGCGACTGGTTCGCCGGTGCGATCGTCGACATGTTCCCCAGCTTCGTCGACCTCGCCAAGCCGCGCAAGCCCAGTCAAAACCCCCCCGCTGAGCCAGACGCTGAGGATGTTGAAGCCACCCTGCTGCAGGTAATGTGGGACGAGTTCGAAACGAATGTCGACGATGACTCCGAGGTCGAGGTGGCCGAGCGCATCGTCAAGGTCCGCACTCAATGCGCCGCCGGAGATTTCGAATTCATCGAGGAACTAAGGCGCAGATGGCTAGCTACAAAGGGCAAAACAGTCAAGGTTCAGGAGGTGGATGCCGGAGATCAGGAGACCGACTGGGAAAGCGAGGACGACGAAGGTGATGAGGATGACGATGTTGAAATGGATGAGGCGCCTGCTCTAGTTGCAGCGCCTAAGGAGAAGCCACCCCCAGAGGTAGACGAGGATGGCTTTACAAAGGTTACACGAAAGAAGCGCTGAGCACGTTCATGCCATGTCAAATTTTGAGCTGCAGACTCTAGGGGAGTAGAGTTGCAGGTAATGGCACAGCAAGTTCGAGACGAATTATGCTTGAAATGATATAAACAGGTAAGGCAAGGCGGACAAATATATCATGCGTTCAAAGCCAATCCAATAAAAACCAGCAACGCCTATGAGAGCACCAAATCCGAACAGTCCATGCCAACAGAGAGAGCGGCAATATGCCAAGGATCAAGCAGCAGCATTACTCCCATTCATCATCATCGCTGTCGTCGCTATTATCCGCTTTCCGAGCCTCCTTGGGACTGTTCGGAGCCTGGCTTGGATTTCCGGACGCCGCGCCTACAACATCGTAGCTCGTATCGCTGTCAGGTTGAGATTTCTCATCGTTGGACTTACGAGGTTCGGATGGCTTCAAACGGTTCTTGTCCGAAGTGGTAACCGCTGGCGGGTGAATTGTTGTAGAAGACTCGATAGAAGCCGGCCGCGCGGGCTTCACCGTCGGCTTTTGCGCGGGCTTAGCTGGCACCGTATCGTCGTCGGACTCTTCCTCCGATTCTTCTTCCGATTCCTCCTCATCGGATTCCTCGCCCCATCCAATTTCTTCTTCGGCGGAGGCGGCTAAATGCCAGTTTGTTAGCTATATATAGATAAGCGTAGAAAGAAAATACAAATCTTAACGAACCCTTCAATAGATCTCGGCGACGTGCTTCAGCTGTCTCGATACTATGTCGGAGGAAACAGTATCGCCTCCAGAAGTCGGCGTAGGGAACCTTGTCGGGAACAAGCTTTTCCATGTTCGCTCGTAGGTCCGGGTACTTAGCTAGGGCAGCGCTGATAGCCTCCGTCTTGCTTTCTACATCGAAAGTCATGGACCACGCAGCATATTCGGCGCCGGTGGGATCTTCTGTAAAACTCTTCTCGGTCGTGTGTAGGACATGAAGCTGTGCATCGTATCTCGAAGTGTGAATTACTCGCTTTCCGGACTCATCCTTACTCTCGAACCGGCGGGCAGTTCCCTTGGAGTCGCCTGATTCCGAAGCAGGCTTTACAATGATAGCTTCACGGAAGAAGTCTCGGATATTCCCACCAAACTTTAAGAGCGCCTCGTCGGCAGCGTCCTCAGCACGTTGGATATCCTTCAAGCGTTTTGCGGCCTCGGCCTTCAGTCGTGATATGACGGTTTCAGAGTCCTTAGCCGTCTCATCGGAACTAGACGCTTTATCCGCTGTCGGGGTTCTCTCCGGATCTTTATCTTTATCACCAGACGGCGGCGCCCTCTCTGTGACGGGAGGTGTTGTAGTTAACGAGAGAGCCCTTGCGCGGAGGTTTGCCAAGCTTCGAGTAGCATCTACACTGAGCGATGTGACCTCTTGCTGTGCCTCTCTGTATACAGACCCGCCCTAGAATAAATACTAGGTTATTCAATAGGTCTCGTTAAATTCAACAGCTGACATACCTGTTTGATAACGTTACCGACTGTTCCACCAAGCCATGTTCCCCAAGAGCTGCTGGAGAATGCACGGTATGCTTCCTGAAGGTCTTCATTGAGAGTATGCTCGGGTTTCTGTTGGGAAGACTCTGCGGCCTGGTTGCTAGTGTTGCTATTTTCCTTACTATCCTTTGGGAGGGTTTCTTCGACTATGTGGTCGTATGCGAAATCCATGGTGGCGTGGTATCAGGGGTATAAAATACTATGTATAAACTTGAATGACTAACAGACAAGTAATCCCGTAAGACCCCTCTTCCACAACTGCCACAATAGAGATGGAGGGGTGCTACGTAAATCGCAAGGGATGCTGTTATGACTGTTATGGCTGAGGAAATGTACTGCCGTTGCTATCGAATGATGAAGTCGATGTCGGTATTCTAGGATTTGGGTGATGGGTGACAAGTGACAAGGCTGACCGTTTCCAATCTGCCGATTGACGTATCGAAAGGCTACGCGGTCTTTCCCCCCCTTTGCGAATCATCGTTCTGTACCTGTCCCGCACATTTGGCATACGAGATACGAGATACTTTTCTAACCTGAAAGCGCTTACCCCTTATAGTTTAGCTCGTTCGTCGGATAGCGGATAGGCACACAGCTAACAAATGCGGGGAATAGCGGTCATATGTATTCACCGCGATTATTCAAGTAATTGAATACATGTACCTATGTAAGTACTACGCGACCAATATTGATGGCAGGCATATTGCATGTACGTATGTTCGTACGCAGAACCTTTAGGTGGCAGGAGAAACGGTAGAAAACTCTATGTAAGCGCGGTAGTGATTTCCAATATCTTGATATTAAATAGCCTGCCAGTCAGACTACAAATAAAAGGATCACCATGTATCACGTGGGCTTAATCCCGAACCAGCTCTTGCCTAGGTACCTAGGTATTATGCACATGTATTAGTGTACTTTGCTCACACTTTTAGTTTAGTTCTATACTCGGTACAGGATGTAAGTTAAACCTACATCTTTTAAATCCGCAAAAAGAATCCGCATATTTGCTTCGAGCTTTGATGTAAGCTTTAACGTATATAATCTTGCATAGTTCTCATTTTTATATTAAAGCAGCATTTATCATTCCGTCATTCATTTGCAGTACATACATACATAGTCTCAAGTGCTATTCCAGCGGTCAGCTCGATATCGGAGTTGCTGCTTTTGTCTATTCAAAGTGGACAACTTACTTACATACATGTCCACCCCCCGAACCAAAAACTCTTAGTAAACGCAACTCAGTTTAGGGCTTATATGCTTATGCTGCAAAATAGCGGTACTCGTTCTAGAATTCTTACCCCAACGAAAATTATTTGCAGAGAACTTGCTGTACATACACTGGATGGGCCGGGTTGTTACCATCTACGCTGTATTATAACGGTATTATGCAGTACTTGTGCGCATTATGAGGCTGTCAGCTCGGTATCAACGCCCATTAGCAAGTACATACTGTATGCATGGTATCCCTAAGCAAAAAGGCATCCGGGCATCCAGGCATCCAGGCATCCCAGCATTGATTGGTATCTCCATACGATTTACATATCTTGTTCTACAAACTTCTCTATCCAGATCTGCCCACTGCTTTGGGCCTGGGCTGGCCGGTGGCTACATATCGCTACATATTGTTACATATTGCTACATATCCTACCTCGTCTTAGGAAGGTATTATGCTGATCACCAGGCACCAGGTTGGAAACGAGTCATCATCCACACCAATATCCATTAGATTCCGAGTCCGACGCCCGATGGGTGGGTATCAGTTAGGTGCACAGGTGCACAGTGAAGAATAGCGAAACTAAATCAACTTCGCCTCTCCGCTAAGTACTTTAACGGCTAAATTCGTGCATACATACCTACATAGGTACATATTTAGTACTATAGTACACTACCTACTCGCCTACTACTGTACTGTACTATGTACCTATGTAGAAGTAAAGAAGGAGACTTGGAACGTGACTCGGTTCCATCAAACAGCCCGTGGCCGCTGAGCCGTTTCTGTCCCACAATGGACCCCCATGTCCCCATGTCCTCATGTCGACTTGTACCATCTTCTCATTGGAGAAATCTCACGCCAAGACGGCCTTACCTAGCGACCTACGTACGCACACAGCATGTACATACAATATTACATTATTACATGCAATATTTGGCCCAGCTCGAAAAGCTTGCTTGTCTGCTGTTCCCAGCATTACATATGTAGGTTAGTGTATGTATGGCACATCGAAGTATTCTCGAGTATTCTCCACTGGGTTTGAAACCAAACCTGCCTTGTTCCTATCAGTGCATAGTATCGTATGCATACATAACATTATGCAAGCTATTACACTATAGGCTAGCACCTAGGCTATGTAGTTCCTACACTAATCAAAGGAACTCGAGGCTTCCTCAGGTGGAGACAGTGCCAGGGAACAAGGAGAAACATGTCCGCCTATCTGAGGTCTGAGGTCTGAGGAACACATTAGGTACCTATGTACCTAGACGAAAATACACTATGGTGTGGACGTAACATACATATGTAAAGAGTACCTAACGCAAAGGGCGCGATCAGCCACAAGGTAAGCTCCGTTAAAGTCCGAGTACAAAGAACGAGGAAAGGTTCCCCGCCACAATGACAGTCTTTGACATATTCTTATTCTTATATTGGACCATGTAGCGCTTACAAATCGGAAAATTGCCTGTCTTCTACCCCCCTCTCTTGAATTCCTTCCATCGTGAAAACGTGCACTCAATCTACGCTTGTCACACATCCGCCCTTTGCATACACATACATACCTACACTATCGTACGCCTCTCACATAGACACGCTGTTCCTATCCTGTCTAAGGAGAAGGGGGGTGTGCATAAGCAAGTGGTGGTCACTACGTCAAGTCCTTCTAAAACAATATACAAAAAAAAAGACGGCTGTTTTGTTTTGTCCCTTCCCATCCCTCCATCATCAGCCTCAAGACCAAGGAGGCGAATATTTGTCCTTTCCCTTCAGACATCTAACATCACTTACAAGCATTGTACGAGACTGGTCGTGGATACCCGAGACCTTCAGGACTACTAATCTCCTAAATCTCCTAGAATTTGTCTTGTCTGATTTTTGAAGAGTTACGCCAATCATTAAGCGCAGCAATCGCTGCGTTGCGCTTCAAGCTATCCTACGTCCAGCTTCGCTTCCAAGCCAACGTCGTTAGGAGCGTCGACTCGAGCTAATTAACGTCTTTGCTCCGTTAAGAAGAGACGTTAACATATTCAATTCATATCTACCTTGTCTCATACCTTATTGCCGTTCTAAATCGTGATCATATTTCATATTTCTTTAAATTTATCTCTATAAAAAAATAAAAAAAAAGGCTCGTCGCAATGGCTTCAGCTCATTCTCAAGCTCTCCAAAACTTCATCCTCACGCCCCAGCAGCAGAGCCTGCTCTTCCGCGCTCTTACTTCAAATCAGCAAGGAGGTAGCAACAGCCCAAACAATGCGCTGTCTCTCTCGCCCGAGTCTTCAACAAAGTCACCGGTCCAGAATCAGAAAGGTACCCCGAATATCGATACCCAGAACGGTATCTCCAATGGTATCCAAGAGAGTCCCTACTTGGATTATGACTACGACTTGGGACCCGATACTAGTTTCGACTTCGATTTTACGCATGATGGCCAGGCAAAGATGATTGGAGATCTCCCGGGCACCTCGCCCAAGGATAATTCCAAAGCCAGCTCTCCCGATAACGATAGTCCCGACAAGAGAAGTCATCCGGATGATGACGAGGAAGACGACATGGAAGAGGGAGGTGGCAAGCGGAGAGAGAGCGAGGGAAAAATACCCAAGAAACCCGGCCGCAAGCCACTTACGAACGAGCCCAGCTCGGTAAGTCGCAAGCGTTAACCCGGCAGCCCCAAGGATTGTGCAATGTCTAACGTTTTATATAATAGAAGAGGAAGGCCCAAAACCGCGCTGCCCAGCGCGCGTTCCGGGAGCGCAAGGAGAAGCACCTGAAAGACCTTGAGACGAAGGTGGAGGAACTTGAAAAGGCGGAGGCGGCGACAAACAACGAGAACTCTCAGCTGCGTTCCCAGATCGAGAAGCTGACAATGGAGCTTAACGAGTACAAGAAGAAGTTGACACTATTGAGCAGTCCTCATTCGGTCCCTAATCCCAAACGAAGCTCAGTATTCGGTCAAGCTGCCATACAAAATCTCAATGATGTCAACTTCCAATTCGAGTTTCCCAAGTTTGGCCTTCTCCCTGGTCCTCAGAACCCCTCAAAGAATGGCTCCAATTCTTTGTATTATTCGGCACCATCTAGCAGCAGCCCTAATAAGCAGGCCAACTCACCGGACAAGTCCAAGGACCAGGCTACCCCCACCTCCACGAAGAGCCGGGAGAACTCGGACGCTTCATCTAAAGACACATCGTCCAAGTCTTCCGGGTCTCCCTACGATAGCACATTCGGTGCCAGCGCATCGAGAACTAGTCTGGACTCTAGCCACTATAGTGTGAATGGAGCTAATACCGGCTCGCCTTGTTCGTCAACGGCGAATTCTAATATGGGGCCCAGTTCCTCGTGCGGAACCTCCCCTGAGCCGCTGACCCAATCACCGCTGGGATTCAAGCCGGTAGACACCTTGACTACAATCGGCGAGGAGCAACCGTCGCTGACAAGCGACTCCATGACTCGTACGTATTACCTACATATTTGAATGTGTACTGCCTAAATTCCTAGGGCTTGTAAGCTAACCGTACCAGTAGATTTCAACAACTTGAGCAATATGGATTTCTCAAGCCTAGATTGGCTGTCGCAACAGAACGGAGGCCAGTTTGACCCGCAGCTCTTCGGCGACTACCGGGAGCCTCAGGACAATATATTGGCTAGTGCTACTTTTGACGACAGCTTTTTCAACGACGCCTTCGACGTTGACTTCACTACACCGTACAATGTACCGTCGGCGTCTAATAACAACAATAACGCTCACAAGAAAAACCTGATTGCTGAAATTGACGCCAGGAAGGAGTCGGATGACACTATCCTATCCAATGGCAAGCTGCTCACATGTAATAACATCTGGTACGTTAACCCACTTCTCTATTTGCCCTTCATCCCGCCAGGTAAATAAATCGGCAATGATATATATATATATACTGACATCACAAAACAGGGAGAAACTGCAAGCCTGTCCTAGGGTACAATCGGGTGACCTCGACCTCGATGGATTATGCTCTGACCTGCAGAAGAAGGCCAAGTGTGGTGGCTCTGGCGCCGTGGTCGACGAACATGATTTCAAGGCAGTCATGACCAAATATCTCGGCGCCGACGCCGGGAAGTGTACCGCGTAGTTTTGTATCCCACTGTTAGAACTCTTCTGTGTCTACGAACATAGGAGGTTAGGGGGCTCTCACACAAAAACAAATAGATCTCCCTACTCTTGTGCCACCACCATCACCGATCATTGGGTAACGGCGGAAAGGAGGTTTATCATCAGGCGGCGCGACAGGGATTACGGCGAAAGCGGGGCAATGTAAACCAAATACCCCTGGGTTACGGCAAGAGAGAGACAGAGAAAGAGAGTGCGAAGCCATTCGCCACATCTCGAGATATCCGGACAACCGAATATCTAAATCTCATGCCATCTCATTATTCATCGGATATCGGAGTTTGTTGCATGCATTTGCGACAGAGAAAGGCAGGAAAATCACTGAAATATAGTTCTCCTTTCGTCTTTATTTTCCTTCCTATTTTCCTATTTCCTTGGACCGTACGTGCCCCTCGTCCGCTGATACGGGAGGATAGTACGTGGCGGCGACGACATGACATATTTATGTATGGGGTAACGAGTATGACAGCTTATGACCATACCACGGAGGTAGTCAAGGCTAAGTACTAGGAGTTTTACCTAGGTAGCAAATAAGTAAAGGGAATGTAAGAGGTATTCTCACGAGGCAAGGATGGAATGATGACGACGGTATCGATGACTTTGACGTTTTGGGAGAGATGTGTATGATGTGCCTGCTTACTTGTTCTTCTTGTCCATGTCAATACCATCTACGTTAATTTAAGACTGGTCGAAGCAGATCTTCCTGGAGACACGAGACCTAGCGTGAACATATTTTCAGATCGAGATAATTTCTACCTGTCTCTCTTTATATAGAACACTAGCAGTACATGCAATGGAGAGCCGTGGATGACAATAGTTACTAAGCCAGTTGTTTTTCGGTGATAGGCAAGGTGAATAGGGGTCTCGGCGGCGAAATTGGTAAGAGGTATTATTAATTGTTTGCATCAAATAGACCGAGGATATCAAACAAGCGTAATAGTCTCAACAGGGACCCCACGCTCCCTAAACGCTTCCGGAAAGAGTCTCGGGTCCGAGTTGATCACCTCGCCCGTCTCCTTATTATAAAATCTCTTACAATACAGAGGGTCAGCTTGGGACTTCTCCCATTCGGTGATCTCTTCCCAGCCCGTCGGCACCGGGACCTCCTGTAGCCGCTGGTGATCTCTGTATATGTCTCCGGTTTTCTCGTTGTAATACATGACTCGGACACGGTTGTCTTCGCCGGGTCCTATCTGTGCTGTCCAGGGTGGGGGGATCGAGCCGAAGAGGGCTTCGCCGTCCACTGGGGGAGGTTAGTCATCTTCACGAGTAGAAGGATGGGGTGTTGGGGATATAGCATATAGATGCCATGTAAGCTAGCTTGACGCGTGACGAGGGAGTTTTCTGTCCGCGTCCTGGGGAATAGGGGTACGGGAGATAACTCAAAGATTACTTACTGATGCCGTGTACTGCAGCCACCAGAGTTAGCAGGAGTTTTATAGAAAGGGGGGAAGAGAAAGGGAGTAACCTAGAAGTTTGTTTGAAATAAGGAACCCTCACCGTAGCAGTCTCCAACGACCTCATATTCACCACTCGCCGTCGGTCTCAGAAGCATAGGCACATTGCACCCAAGAACCACAAAGACCTCATCACCTAAACACCCCCCGTGTCAGCAGCCCATCTAATACCACCAAAACGACTGCCAATGCTTACCCTGCTGCAGCTCTCCATTTATCATACCCACATACCCATTCTGCGTACTGAAAAGATAACACCCATTAATCCGCCCCGTAGTCCATATCTTCCACCCATCCGACAGCGCCTTCTCCTCGTCCGCCTCGCTGCCCTCCGGCGCAGCTACCATCGCCGCCAGGCCGGCTAGGCTGGGATATCCAATACCATAGCATCGATCCTCGACTCTGCCCAGCGCCAGCGTCTCCAGCCACGCGTCGCGGTACGTCCCGCGGGACGGATACGGCGCCCCCTTTAAACGATCGAGGCCGATACGCCGGCACGTCGTGCGGAAATCTGCGAAATTCTCCGTGCTGATTTTCGCGCCGACGCACGACACGCTGGCGAAGTACAACGCTGATACCTCGAGACGCCCGGGATCGACGTATTTCGCGCGCGAGGCCGAGATCCCGCTGGCGCAGAACCCGACGTGGTGAGCCGTCGTGATGTGCAAGTAACGCGACCAATCCGGCAACCAGGTCGGCCACTCCGGCGTCGTCGTCGTCGTCGTTGCCATCGCAGTCGTAGCCGCGTCCCTCCGTCTCGCATACGGAAGCAGCGAAACGCGCTTTTCGTGCTTCACAAACGCCAAAAAGACGCCCCTAAACACCTCGAGCGGCGACTTCTTGTAGTCCGGGGTAATATACCTGGTGATTTCCGGCGGCGCCAGGCTCAGCAGCCCGTAGATCCTGTCGCGCGCGTTCAGACACAGGCGCATGTGGTGGTTCTTGAGCACGTCCGTGAACGGCATGGACGCGAGATGCTCGCACAGGAATTTGATCTGCTGCGTCTTGTACCAGAGCGCCTCGGGGACGCCGACGTCCTTGGCGTGGATGCAGATGACGGCCCGGCGGAAAAAGGCCCATGGGATCTCGCTGCGCCCGCATCTTAGGACCGAGTCGGCGTTGCCGAGATGGATCTCCTGCACGATCCAGAGACGTGCGAACCAGTCCCGCGAGCAGGTCTCGGAGATGGCGTCCCATGTGGCGGCGTCCCAGGGCAGCGCCTTCTTGCTCGAGAACCACTTGTCTTCCGTGCAGCCGGGTGCCGAGACCATCGTGCCGTCTTTGTTGTGCTCGATTTGCCGCCCGAGGTATGCCAGCTTGGAAAATGCAACATCGCTGTTTGGAGAGCCGGGGCCTAACCATGCCACGACCCTATGAGCGAGCGTATATATCAACCCCATACGCTTGACCTGCTCGCTGCGCTCGTCTAGGTCGTCCTGGTTGATACAAAGAGCATCGATCCACATGACCCGGCCCCTATCTTCGTACCGGAGGTGGCGTATCGCCTCCTGGAGGTTCGCCTGAATAGGCAGACGCTGCGTCCTCAACGCTTTCAACCCTCTCGCTTCCTCCTCGCCCCGGACTACTGCTTTCTCCTTAACCTTGGGAGAACCCCAAGTATACGACAGCGCCTCGAACTTGACGCTCGGTTTCCCGTCTCCGTGAAGTTCATACCTGTCTCGCGGGAAATCAGGATCCGGATGGTCCCAGGAAGAACACCACCCCTCGTAATTCCGAAAGATAATGCGGCCCTCCAAGGTCTCGCGGGCATTCCAGCTCTGAGGAAGAGTTCTCCGTAGGGAGGCCAGCGACATCCGCTTTGGTTTATCATCTTCGTTGGGCGGGATGAGAGGGGCGTGAGTGATTTTGATCTGGATAGGGTCGTCGAATTTCCCAGGGAGTATAGTGACCAAGCGAATGTCCTGCGACGCTGGGTCGAGCGGTATATACTCATACTTCATTCTTATACGACCCTCAGAGAGCTGTTTGTATTTAGTGGTGTAATAGAGTTATGTTGACTTGACAGTTATTAAGGAGGCTATGAGCCAAACTTACTCACTTATAAGTATAACTCAGCGTCGACACATTCTAAGACCATACGCCTCGTACATGCATAGAAAGCCGGATCTTTCATTGGCTCAACCATGATCCTAATGCTTGTGAAGACTCACATCAAACACATTCTCTAACCTCTAACGAATATTTTATATTGATACGTACTGACGTCTCTTCTGGCTCTTCTAATCGAAGCATGGTCATTAATTCCATATTATTGAGAGCTAAAACGTTAGATGGCTTGTTATTCTTGGATACCACAGCCCCAAGAATCTGATGCATAGATACCTGTTAATGAAATGCTAGTCAGTTAAGAGAATCAGTTTCTAGTTTCAGACTTAGAAAAGGTAGGCAAGGTAACCAACCAACCAATCTAAACTCATAACTGCTATTTGCTTCGATATATGTGCCAACAGTTACACCAATCCTAACACGAATCTACAGTCATACATTATAGATAATTACAGCATATTTCAAAGGTAACTGGCAATAGATAAAAACAAATAATTTATAATTATGCATATTTCATGTTCTCTACATATCAAGCGTAGGGGTCGGATATCCCATTCTTCACCATTATGAACACCGATTGTAGTTGTTTGTGCATTGTACTCGCCACCACCCTCGAATATGGACGTTGCCGCCTCGTATTCCTCGTAGATTAACTCTTAGCGGCGGGTGCTATAAACGATACCACCCAAGTAAATTGTGAAACCTCGATTCCGAGGTCTTCTAATGGAGAGTGCCTAATGCATGTGCCGCGCTGACTTCGATTCATCTTGCGGACAAAACCGCCTAGAATTCGAATCAGCTCCCAAGGAGAATATGGCCGCTGGTCGATAGTTTCGTATTATAATATGGCCCAGGGTGAGCTCACTTAAAGGGGCTCATGGAGCGGGTGTTGGAAAGGGTCGGTTAAGTCTGTCAACTCGCCTTGAAAGAGTTTGACACAGCTTTTGCTTCAACGAGGCTGTTTGCTCGTTTTCATCCGCGGCACATAGCATCCGTAAAACTCGGGGCCGCTGGAAATACTGTAATCCGCCGAATTGACGAGTCTGATATGGTTCGCCAGTGATATCGGAATGACTCGAAAACGACACTTAGCTTAGCCGACACGCCAACCATCGTGAAGGATTTCTCCCTACGATGAGCGGAAGAGATTGAGTTGTAATAAGCCCATAACAATCCTAGTGGCCCACTCCCAAAACCCAAAAGACGCCGATGCACCCAATAATATCCAGTGCGGAGGTGCCATCAACCAATTATCTGTCGTGCCCCTTCTTTACCCAAAACTCCCCTTTCTTTTGGCTTTGGACTATGACCCCTCTTCTTTCGGCCAAAAAGTCCAAAGACGCCACCACCCCCAGACGACTTATCCTCACTCATGACATTAGCATCGGCCGGTAACGTCGCATCCCTACGCGCTAGATCCGACCAGCTGCCTGTATCCTCTAACGTGACCGATATGCCGCCGCTGGGGGATTTGACTTGTAGATTTGAAGACTGGGAAACACTCTTGCTGTATGTGCGGTGATATGATGGAAGCGGCGCTGGGGGTCGAGGTGCGCTTTTGGCTGCGCCGCGGTTACTACTCGTCGTAACACTCTTATCTGACGGGGAGTTGTTTTGTACGGGGGAAGGTTGGTATAATTGCTGCGGAGCTTTACTATTGGTTGGAGCTGGTTTGGCCTCGTCGGTACTGATGGCTCGACCCTCTTCATTGGCTGGGCTCATAGCAGGACTATCATCTCCGGTTCCATCCGCCTGCTGTGCCGTAAGCCTGATACGTGGTTAGCGAATAGGGTAACTGGGTAGTAGAAGACACTCACTTCTTATAAGCTGCCACAGTGTAATCGAACGGCTGAAATTCCCGCTCGATTGTACGGTATAGTTCCTCTTCCCGGATCTCCTTCTCAGTGGCGTCATCCTTTAACCTCTCTCTGGGTTTTTGTCTCCGCGCCCTGGCCTCCAGTGGCGCCTCCTCTAATAACAATTCTTCGAGGTCGTAGGTAGCATCGAAGTTGGTCTTGTCTGCCGATGGGATAAATACAGGTTCCAGTTCTTTTCTTTCTAAAGCCTCAAAATCAATGCACTGAAAGAAGGACTCGGTTATGAAGCTTTGCCAGGTGTGACCAAGCCTCTTGTCGGGGTTCGGATTTAGAGCAGAACCGATGGCGTATAGGCATGGTAGTGAGACTGGAGGTTGAGTGACGGGGAATTTCGGGTTTGCGGCCAGGATGACATTCGTTAAGCTAGATTCTGAATTGCCCTCAAACGGTCGCTATAATCATAGTAAGCACACGGCTTGATCGTTAAGTTTCGAAAAGATGGGGGTTATTCGTACTTTGTTGTAAATACATTCGTAAAACAATACGCCTAGCGACCACCAATCCGCCCTTACGTCGTAGCCTTTACCTGCATATACTTCGGGGGCGAGATACGCAAGAGTTCCCGATTTGCTCGTGAGAACCTTTCCGGGTATAACGTCTGAGGCAACATTCTAGATAACAAATTGTTAGTGGTTGCGAACGGCGGAGTAAAGGTAAGGCAACTCACGAAATCAGTCAAGTGAACATGACCGTCGGCATCTAGTAGCACGTTGTCTGGCTTCACATCTCGATGTATTATGCCTTGCCCGTGTATGTATCTGAGCGCACATCCTAATTCCGCTATCCAGAAACGCACAGCATCTTCAGTGAAGGCCTTTCTCGATATGTGAAAACGCAGGTCGCCTCCGCTCATCAAGTCAACCACAAGGTACCTATTATTGTGTAAATCGAATTAGATGGGCTGTTTTTATGTTGAGGGTAGTAGCTGATGCGTACATATACTCGATATCTTGGAAACTATAGCGCAAGTTACAGATGAAAGGGTGGTTCACATGCTCGAGCATGCGTCGTTCTCGTATAATATTTCGGACGCTTTCAGATCGTACGACTATGGAGGCAAAATAATATCAACACCCGTTGACTCTCTCATCGTTTGGATATATGTAAGGATTAGGGTTTAAAAAAAGTCGACGCACCCTCATCTTTACGAATGTACTTCAGGGCAAACGATAGGTTGGTATCTTTTCTTTCGACTATTCGCACTTTACCAAAAGCACCGCGACCGACGACTCGTAATAATCGGAAATGGTTTAGGTTCACTGATAAGCAATGGAAGATGGCACTCGGTTAGCTATTATATCGACACGGCAAACAGTACTTCCGAGACAGCGGGTAGAACCTGTACCCCTTTTGGACATTGGAGGGGGGAAACATACCTTCGCCGTTGAGATCAACGGGCTTGCCTTGACTGTTGCCCATAGGGAAGCTTGAGGGGGGGGATCAACACCCGGCTTCCGCAATTTTACTCGTGTTCAGCTGCAGGGAGACGGTGAACAGATGGCGATTTAACGATTTAACGATTTAGCGATTTAGCGATTTAACAATGGATGATTGGAAAAGACCAAGAAAGATAAAGCATTTATTAAGCGCAAGGAGATAAAAATAACGATAGGGAGAATGAGATGTCAGGAGGTCAGAAAGATCCACTCTTTAGATCCCGACTAGGTTATGAATGTCTGAATGTATTCTCAGCCTGGCCAAACCGGGCAAGTTATTGTTATTATTAGCTGCTTTTAGGAGGGTATGTAAGTAATTGTAGAGAAACAACCAGTCTAACAGAAGAAGCAATAATAAGCAGCGCTAGGGCCCGGGAAAGTGGTTGACAATGAACAACAATAAAGGTTTCAATGTTATGTATGTAATAATTGTAATAGGTAGGGAGAGAAGAGGGAGAAGATTGAACTAAGAGCAAAGAAGACAAGCACTAAATTGGTTTGGTTCGAATCCAATCCAATAACCTTACTTGCTTCCTTGCATGTAGGTACCTACCTACTCCATGTATGTACTCCATGTATGTACTCCGTGTATGTATGTACCGTCGGCGATTGGCAATTGGTACGGCACCGGGCAGAACAGGACAGCGTCTCACAAGTGCATACCAGTACGGCACTGTGTCGTATCGCGACATAGACAATATACCGATAAGCCTAAGTCAAGTCTGGTATATTACCTAGTACCTACCTACCTAGGTAATACAAAATGGGCATGCAGCCCGCTACCTACATGTAGGTAGCGCAGGTAATTAGGGGATTAGGGGATTAGGGGACCGGACTTGCACCATAGTATTGTACCTGCAATCACTTAGGTTAGGTAGGTAGTCATTATTGCCTGTAACTCGCGTATGACATGAGAATGAGAAACCTGAGTTTTTATGGGGACATCTTAGACCTTACCTAGGTACCTACTTTAGACTTTGCCTCATGTAGACTTGCTGATAGGTAACATGGCAGGATCGACGCTGCTCAGCTGCGGGCGTTTCCATACATGGTATGCTTGCTGCCTCGTGCGTTCGAACGTGTGGCTTTCCTAACTCCACCTTCATCTTGAGGTCCAGGAGGCAGGGAGGTAGGGAGGCAGGGAGGCCACGCACTTGCCACGGAGATAGAGTACATACATGCATCTTGACCTAGCCTCAATAGGCAAGGTTCTAATGTCGAACAGTGTTTCAGTCTGGAGATATCCATAGGAAGGAAACCATAGGAGATATCCGCTCTTTGTGGCTTCCTGCGTGGCTAGTCTATCTTTTCCCCTGCTCCCCCCTATCCCATCTCTTATTTTCGCATCTGCGATTCTCACCATCAGACCATTTACCATGCATCCTAATGATGCATCCTAACGCACGTAACTTATTTGGACTTCACCCCGTAAGCCTCAGCAGATTACATACATACTCCAAGAAAATAGTATACCTATATTATTTTGGTCTAGTTACGGAATATCATGGTCAGAATTCCTTAAGCCTTAGCACTCAAATCCCGCCGCTGCGTATCTAACCTAACGTAGGTATATACTAACTACTCAGGATCCAAACAATTCCAAACAATTGCAAACAATTGCGCGCTCTACATCCATTACTACGTATACGATTATCGCGAGGCGGAATCCACCTGAAACAGTCTCAA